TGATGCTGCTTGGCCTGCTGTGTTCATCCAGCTCTACACCTTGGTACCTAAGGTTAAGATTAATCAGTTTTTCCAACAATTCATTCCTAATGTTACACTACCAAACAAAATTTTTCTGATGTCTTTGTTTTTTTGTGGAAGATTAATGTATAATTATAAAGTATGATCAAATTACCTCTGAATATGTCTTGTATTTGATAAACAAAAACCTAGCATTGTTTTCTATAATTGTATTAACTCTCAGATTGGTGGCACAATTTTAATACTTGTTTTGTACATAAATTGATTAGCATTTTACTTGCAACAAATGTTGCAAACATAACAAGTTCAACCAAATTGCTGCTGGTGTTAATTACTCATTTTTGCAAAAAAGATTTTCTCAGTTTATTTGTGTTTATTGAGACGAGGGATCTTGATATTAAGGAAAGTTGAGCTTTTCTTCTTCCAGGCACCCATTACAAGGAATAGGCATTTTAAGTCAAATTTAAATGCAGCATAATGCCCAGCGATCTGTCTCAATCCCCTCGCCATCCTCAGTTGTTGCTAGATATTGCATGGATTTGCACAATTGGATTGAGACCAGACAAATTTTGTATCATGAAAGGTTCTTACAACTGGCACACCAGCGTTGAAGTTGGGTTAATTTTTAAACATTGTCAAAAAAGAATTGGTTATCCTGTTTTGGAAATGTCTAACAACATTGAGATTTTGGTTTTTTTTTGATCTGTTTTGTTTTTTATCAATCGTTCTGACGCCTGTGCAAGTATCCCAAATAATTAAGTGTTTTAGAAAATTGTGGTGGCCATATTTTCTATTATTCTACATTAATATATCTAGAGGTATCAGACTTTGGAGAGAGGTTGTGCTAAATGGATACAGAAGTCCGTGAAAATGTTCCAAGCTTATGGAAAGACAGTCTCTGCATTTGAATATGATGCTAGTCTGTGGTAAAACAAAATTACTTGAAATACAGAAGAGGCATATTAGTAACTGAAAAGACATTAGGAAAGATTCTGCACAAGTTTTTGTAAGTGTTCCAACTGAATTATTAATAGTGAGTGGTTTGTCCTTTATAGATGTGACTGACCCATGTATTTCCAACATTTACTGAGGTTGCTTGAAAATATGCATTTTGAAATGTTCTTTTTTGCTATTAGTCTTATTTGAACATTTGGTTGTAATTTTGTACAGATGCGTGCTTTGCCCAGTGAATGGTATATGCATATGTTCCAACATCAACAAAGGTCCAAGTGGTGTCTCTGTGTATAATAAATGTATTGAGGTGCCTTAAGTAACAAGGTTTGGGCTAGTCATATCCATAAAACTGTTGCTGTCATCATCTTGGCCGATGATGAATACTGTTGTCTGTCCACTGTTCTGCTTGCATGTATAACATGTTCTATGATAGTCAATGTAGCCACTTTCAATCAAGTGAGGCAAAGTACTTTTAGTGTCGTGTGACCTGTTGTAAATATGTTGTACTGTACATAACTATGACCTTCATTGAGTGTGGAAATGCCTTTTGTGTGTTGTAAATTGTATTGCAGGTCCTCAATCAAGCTGGTATGCTCCAAATATTTATGACCATTTGTTATTCTTCCGTTATCAAGTGTCACTGATGAATGATTTACACAGTGGTGTAAAATGTAAATAAACATAAAGTATGGAGCAAAATGTCCGTCTTATTGTGATTTTTTGCTTTCTTAAAATCCTAATTTGTAGGGGATTAGGTAGACTGCTGTCACTAAAGTGGTAATTTCAGTTTCATTTTGTGCATATTAATATGAAATAGAATACATGCCATTTCAGGCAAGCCTTGTTAACATTATTTTGGATCTGAGAAATAGAGAACTTGTGTAGTACAAGTGAAAATGAACTAATCAGCATCTGGGCAAGTTAATATTTGGCTAGAGATCATTTATTAGACTGAAAGACTCTGCAATGTTAGTCTGTTTCCCAAATATATTTAGTTTTGATATTGAGGTTGAGTTTTAAAATTAGTTTTATTGTACAGTAGTTCGCTGTACAGTATGGCTCCTTTTAACCTGCTCCAAACCTTGTTACCTTATTTTTCACCTTGTTATATTAGTCAAAGCAACTGTAATAATTTGATCTTCAATTTCCCCTGCATTTTCTATACTACCAGTAGAGCATCTGTTTATTTACACCCTTTGGATCTGCTAAAAGCCTCTCTTTCCTTCTTATCCAGTCCAGAATATTCCTAGACATTCAGGGCTCCCTGGCATTGTGGCTCCAAAATGTCATCTTAAAGGGAATATGTTGTGCCTGTACTTTCCATGTTTTTGTTGTCGGTTTCCCCACAAGTAGCTGTGACAGTCTACTTTAGCCAGATCCTGCCTTTTATTAAAAAAAAATTTGCTTTTCCCCGATCCAAACACTTTTTTGCAGATAATCTCTTTTCCATAACAAACTTAAAACATAGTGTTGTGGTTGCTTTCACTAATTTCTCCCCCATGCTATCTTGAGTTCATGTCTGCTTAATTCCCCAGGTCTAATGCTGTGCTGTCCCTTATTGCCCCTTTTATGTATTGACACAAAAAGATCTCTGAATAAATTTCTAGAAAGGGCCCCTCTAGACCCTTCACACTATAACTATCCCAATTAATGTTTGGGAAGATGAAATCTCCTAATATAATTATCCTATTGTTACATACCTCAGTGGATTGTCTATATATCTATTCCTCAATTGTCTAATGACTGTTTGGAGGCCTATAATACATTCCCAGCAATGTGCCTGCTCCCTTTTTATTCCTAAGCTCCACCCACAAATTCATCTGAAGATCCTTCCAAGGTATTGTACCTCCTTACTGCTGTCACTGACTCCTTAATTAATAATGCAGCACCACCTCTTTTACATCCACTCCTATCTTGGTTGAAGATCTTATACCTGGAATGTTGAGTTGCCGGTCCTGCCTCTTCCCCCAATCATATCTCTGTGCTAGGAACAATGTCACAATTCCATGTGTTAATCCACACTCAACCCATCTGTCTTATCGATAATACTCTTAGCATTAAAGTAGAGGAAATCCAACCTCGCTTTTCTCCCTTGAATCAAAACATGGCTGAAATCCCTCTGCCTTGGTTCCTTTACTAAGGTATGGTGTGTCCCCTCCCCCACCTGAGTTAGTTTAAATACCTCCCAACAGCATGAGCAAACACACCAAGGCTGTCGGTCCCTTTCTGTTTCAGGTGCAGAACACTCCACTTGTGCAGGTCCCATCTTACTGAGAAACTTTCAGTGATCCAGGATTCTAAAACCCTCCACACTGAATGAGACACATTCCTTTGTTCTATTCTCCTATTTCTGTATTCACTAGCACATGGCAGTGAGAGTAGTCCAGAGATTACAACCTTTGAGGTCCTGATTTTTAATCTATTGCCAAACACTCTAATTTTTTTAATGCAAGACCTCATTTCTAATTCTACCTAAATCATTGGTACCAACATGTGCCATGTCCCCTGATGCCCTGTAGCTGCTCAGTGGCATCCCTGACCCTGGCCCCAGTGAGGCAATACACCATCCTGGAGTCACAGAAATGCCTGTCTGCACCCCTCAATATTGAGCCATTACTACTATTTCTCTTGGACTCTTGCTTCTCACCCCCTTGTGTAGCTGAGCGACCCAAGGTGCTGTGTTACACAGTGAAGCCGTCACTGTCATTGTTTTCCAACACAAAAATGGTTCTTGAATGGGATGCTGTCTGGTGCTTTCCTGTCTGCCTGCCTGCATTGTTATATTGAATGTGCCTAATGGATTCTTTAAGATCTGATCAAAATGAATTCCAGAAGATGTGCATTTTGATTATACAGCAAATCTATTAGCTTAATATAATTTAGATAGATTCACTCATTAGTTTGCATATGTTAGCTTAAACTACTCAAGACATAATCATCAACTGAGTCTCACTGCCTCCTGCCTGTCGGGGACTCCTGTGTGACATTTGGCACTTGGATTTCTCTCTCTGCTGCCTGACACAAGCCTTGCGAAACCCATTCCAATGGTGAAAGTCCATGGCTCTGGTCTTGTGAATTCTGGTCTGATTGTGAAAGGTCCCTGGGCCCCAGCATTGCGAACCTCCAGCGCACCTCCTCCCTTCAAGTTGGACAATGTCCCCAGTATTAATGCTATCCTGAATCTGACATTAAGTGCCACCTGAGTATTTTTCCCAAGCATTCCTAGGTGCAAAAACAGGTCCACGTGTCTGTGCCTTTGCACAGTGGTCTGTTCCCAAACTCGTCCAAGGTCATTGAGGTTACCTTCCAGCCAAAACTAGGTGTTTTTACATTAAGAGATAGTAAGAACTGCTGATGCTGGAGTCAGAGATAACACAGTGTGGAGCTGGAGGAACACAGCAGGCCAGGCAGCGCCAGAGGAGCAGGAAAGTTGATGTTTCGGGTTGGGACCCTTCTTCATTTACATTGAAGACAACGAGAAGGAAAGAGCTAAACTATTACACTGCAGCAGAAAGCTTAAAAATAAAATATGAAAGCAGTATAAAGATAGTATAAAAACAATATAAATCACAGTAGAATATCAAAAAAAAAGTAATAGTAGAGAATTCTGAAAAGGAAG